TGAGATTTTTCCCTATCTTTTCAACCAAATCTGATTTTTCCCTCTTAAGAAGTTGAAAGGCTGCCACAGACTTTATAAAGTCCATCAATTCTGAACTATTTGTGACCTTAGATATAGTTATATGCAATTGAAAATAATCTTTTTCATCTTAGAATATAAAATGACTATGATTTATGGTAATAGTTTCTATTAAATTCAATCTGCTCTGATTTTTTTCATTCACTTTGCTGTAAAAGAAAGCTGGTATTCATGGCTACCTGCTTATAGCTTTACTAAAATTGCTAAGTAAGATTATTTTTATAGTTACTTTGGAGCTTAGGTTTTCTCTCAGGCTCCAAAGTATACTTTTCAAATTATCTTTGCTTTTAATGTTTAGTATGTTAGAAGGTTCTCAATATACCTTTGAGTTTTATGACTTAGAGAATGAACAGGGTACTTGATTTGGTTTTGTTATCTATGATTTCTGTCTCTGATACTGTGTTAGTCAGCCTGTGTCACTATGACCCAAAATACCTGACCAGAACAATTTAGAGGAAGAAAATTTTATTTTGGGTTCATGGTTTCGGAGGTTCAGTCCATGGTTGACAGACTTCATTGCTCTGGGCAGGAGGTCAGGCAGAATATCATGGTATAAGAGTGTGACAGGGAAGAGCTGCTTTACTCATGATAGCCCGGAAGGAGAGAGAGAGAGAGAGAGAGAGAGAGAGAGAGAGAGAGAGAGAGAGAGAGAGAGAGAGAGAGAGAGGAGCGAGCGTGGGATGAGGATGAAATATAAACCCTAAAGGCACACTGACTTCCTCCAGCCACACCCTTATACACCCTGTGTATAGCTATCACTTAGTATAGTAGTACTTTCAAATCTAATAGATTAATCCACTGATAAAGTTACAGCTTTCATAAACAAAATCGTTTCACTGCTTTATTAACATTTCTGCATTAACACAGGAGCTTTAAGGGGAACACTTTATATCCAAACCATAACAGAGTCATTTGTTTGAAAACTGTAGAGCACTTGTTTTTGTTTATTGGCTCACTGAGTATCTCCTAAATTCAACTGAAGTCCCTTGATACAAGACACTCCATAAGGAGATGTTAAGTGTACCATGTGAATAATGTTTATGGTCAGTACTTCTAGCACATAGGAAAACTGATGGGTTTATGAGATGTCAGCTGTATCCTAAGTCCCAATTTAAATGTACCAGTGTGCTGTTTATCAAGGTTTCTAAAAAGTCAAGTTTGTGAGAGAGAAAATAAATTTTATTCTTCAGGGGCTATGAAGAAAACAAAGCATTGCTGATGGGGACATAGTATTTTTCTTTTGATAACAGTATTTCTAGATGATTCAAATGTTTTGAGGTGGAATGAACAGTCTATTGCAGTGCTATCTCACTTGGAAATGAAGAAGCTAAGATTCAAGGACTTTATATTACTCACAACTTTTTGGTAATAAAGAGATTGCTAAACATCTGGGAAAAAAATTCAACAATAAATGAAAATCAAAATAAATTATGTCAAAACAGAACCAATGCATACACATGAATGTACCCCACCCCTCACTCTACCTTATTTGTGACAAGTTTAATGCTCTATTCTTAGGTGTCAAAATCTTCTCTTTTTCTCCTTTCCATCACAATTCAACTTTTTTTAAAATAGAAAATACCCTTTGCGTTCAGTAGAATTCCTCTCTCTCTCTCTCTGTCTCTCTTTCGATTGAACTTTTGAGACAGGGTCTAAATTGCTGAGGGTCTCTTAAATTTGCCATCATCCTGCTGGCTCCAGAGTCACTGGGATTACAGGTCTCTGCCACTCTGCTGTTGCCTTTAATTGAATTTCTAAATTATGGGTTTTAGCCTTTTGATGTCATGGACCCTTTGTATTGTTTAGTGAATGCAAGTTTTAGAATGTTTTTAAATGCTTAAAACATAAGATTAAAAGGAAAATCAACTAGGACTGAAATACAGCTAACAAAATATTGGAAACTGAATTTATGAGAATCTTATATGTGTTTTATTAAATAACAAATTCTAGCGGCAGTATTATAGCAACTAACACAACTTCACAGTAGTAGTAAGTGTTAAGAACTATTTCAAGGAGTTGCATCAGTTCTAACACAAATATCTGTGACTTCTAGTGGCATTAAAGTCTTAGGTGTTACTAAAACTAATGCACTTAGGGGCAATTAAAGATGTAATTTTTTTTCTCCTTGTACAAGTTCTTCGACCTTATGATAGATCTGCTACTTTTGTGTCTCTTCTGAGTCTCAATGCCCTCCGGGTGGGAATCCCCTCCCACACTGGCACTGGATTGGCCGTGTGACTGCCTCTGCCCTAGGGGATAGAGTAATCTGATTGCTACGTAGGCTCAAGCGCTGGGTGTGCCCTCTTGGAAGGCAAAATAATTCTACAGAAAAAAAACCTGGTCTAATCTTTATGAACATGAATCCCCCCAACTGAGCCCAACCCCCCAGCCATGTGAGATGAGCAATCTCCAAATGTGAGAAAGAACGAATGATTTTTAAATCGCTTAGTTTTGGGCAATTCGTTCAACAATACATAAAAGATATGGAACCCTGAATGGGGTATCCACTGACCTTTTGGGCCCCTGATTTAAAACGTAGGTGAGTTTTTCATTATCAGTATTTTCAAGTTTCCACACAAAATTGCCAGCGATCATCCACTCCCTTGCTCCTCAAAGCGTGGGTCATGGATCCGCTGCATACACACTCCCGGAAATGGTTGGAAATGCAGCATCTCAAACATTACCCCAGACCTACCGAATTAGAATTTGCAGTTTTACAAGATTTTTGAGTGATTTGTGTAAGCATTCAAGTTTACAAAGCACGGGAAAGCATGCGCATTAAAGTTTGAGAAGATAAGCAAACCCCTTATCTTATAATCTTCCATTTCAGAAACGTCTTTGACTCTCTGTAACAGAGAGATTCTATTAAATCAGTGCCTGTTCTTACAGGACTGCGGTGAGATGAAACCTCAGTGCCTCTGTTCAAGGGCTGCAGGTGTGCAGTTGGAGGTCCGGCTACGATGGTCTGTTTTGTGTTAATTGGCAATGTCACGGAAGAGCGGGGAGTTTTAAACATGTGCGGGCCTTTTGAAAAAAATTAACAAATATACGAACGGAACCTCCTAAACAATTAATCAAAACCAAACTAAACCAAAACCCAGTTAGAGAAAATCGCTTTCATAAGTAACTTAGAACGCCTTCTGAAAAGTTTAATACTGGTTTCTTTAAGAGTCGGGCGGGCTATGCGAGTGTAGGACTCTCGAGTATTCTGCAAACTGGGTGCCAACACCTGGGGTCTTGTCCCCAGCAGGAGCACAATAGCTACCCTTGAGCAAGTGTGCGCATATGTATATGGGGGGGGCGTCGGCGGCCACGAAGTTTGTCCTCCATCAGCTCCCATATAAGGCGGGCCCCGCCCCTACCCAAGGCAGCTAGGAAGCCGCGCTGGCTCCCCCCGCCGCGTCTCTAACCAACCGGCTGTTACTACGCATGCCCGGTCCGCAAGACCGCTCCAGATACCTGCACTCCGAGTTTTCCCGCCGCCTATTGGTTGAATCTGCACCCAGCTCAGTGCCAGCTAGGAAGAAAGCTCAGGGTTTCCAAGGTTCTAGAAACAAAGGAGACGCTATTATGATTCTAGTCTAGCTGTAGAATTCTAGGGAAGATGATGGAATAATGATTCGTTGTCTCCGTGGGTTGTGCGTTTGGAGGCATATAATTTCACTTCATTAATTAAGGCCACGGAGTTCCTGATTTTCAGTTGAGGCAAAAGCCTCGAGATAGTGTTGGAGCTGGGGCTCACTACCAGTATCCCTGCTACCACTTCTTGAGGGGCTCCCATTATTTGAACAATGGCCAGTGCTGGCCAACTCCTGGATGCTGTAGGAATGTGAAATACCAGTGGGGACATGTAGTGTGTGAGGGCAGAACCTCCCTTTGTGGCCCAGGTAGGGATGTAGGGGCCAAGGTTGACCCGCACATCGCAGGTACTGGCTTTGAGGGAGTGGCAGGGCATTTAGTGGACTTACCAGTTGCCATCTCTTAGTGATAGGAAGGGCTGGGCTGTTGGTGCCCATCTAACTTGAAAGGGACAGCAAGAGGAAGACAGGTCATGCCTTGATTAATGTGACCAGCAGGTGACCCTGCGGTTCACTGGTGGTCTTTTGGGTTTGTGTGAAAGAATACATGCATGCATGATTAAATGAATAGATTTCATTTTACAATAGAGGGGAGTTAGGTGGAAGCTTACTTACACTGGAAGTCCTAACCTTTAAAAAAGATAACGGTGGTTCTCCTAACTCCTTTATGATTTAAACCAAAATTGCTAACTAACATAAATGCAAGCACTTTTACTGAGATCTGATTTCAGCCAATACAACATTCCCTCCTGCATTTAAAACATCTCATACTCTTTATTTTCTTGGTACCCGAAATTGAGGGGTCCAAAACACATGCTTGGACATTTATAGAGCCAGCAGAGAAAGACTTAGAGTTCACCGCTAACAAACTGACCATCATCTTCTCTGAAATAATTTCAGTTTGTTCCTCTGTAAAACGGATGAGCTGTAATTCATGCACTGCTGGTAAAGCCAGGTCTTTGTTAATGGTTGAAAATTCTGTTTTTGTTAATCGGTCTCCAGGATTGTGACCCTAGATGGCAGTGATTGACTCCTCCCGAGTTTTTCAGGGGTGAGGATGAGTTTTTCTCTTGCAATCATCCGCGGATGATCGCTCTCAGAAACTTCCCTGCTGCAGCCAGCAGGGCTGCAACCGGCGATTTGCCACGCCCCTGTGTATCCTGGCCCCGCCCCATCTCAGCCTAAGCATTCTGGCTCCGCCCCTTCGCGCCGCCGGAGCCGCCTCCAAACCCCGGTTCTCGGATTTTCCGGGCCGGAGCCGCTCTGGGCATGCTCAGTGGCCTGGCAGGTGGGGCCGCCGCGCGACTCCAGGTCCGGCCCCGAGCCGAGGGGCGGGGGCGAGTGGGAAGTGGGCGGGGGCCGCGGGTTCAGTGGTAGAGTCGCCGGCGGCCGTGAGGCGCTGGCCTGGTGGGAATCCCCGCGGGTCGGACCGGGCCGGGCCGGGCCGAGCCGGGCTGGGATGAGCAATGGCATCTGTCAAGGTGGCCGTGAGAGTCCGGCCCATGAATCGCAGGTGAGTGGGACAGCTCGTCCCCCACCCTTGCCTTACCCCCACCTAGAGGAAGCTGTTCTCTAGCTCTCCTGAGAGGCCAGCGTGAATTTAAGTGTCAGGGGCAAGCTCCAGGCCCACCTGATCCAGGCCGGGGCCTCTGGGGGCCTGGAGAACTTCGTGTTTTGCTGCCTTTTTCACTCTGTCCTGGAGGGAATCCTAAGGGTAAAGAGTTCAAGAGGCCAGGAAGAAGATTTCCTATAAACTGTCCCCAACCCAATAACTTGGGGAAGTTTGCTCGTTTCCCCTTAAAAAGCATCAAGGTTACGGAGATACTTGGGGGGAACATGGGAATGGTGAGGGGGCACCTTGAGATGTCAGGCGCAACCCTCATTTGTGCCCACTCAGAAGTTCTGTAACTATTAACCACGCTACTTTTTTAATGTCTTAGAGATGATTTAGAGTTTCGGAATGTGAACCCTAACTTATAAATAGTAACTTAGCAGTTCTTAACCTCGGATGAAAAGAGGGGATAGGAAAACTTTGACTAAAGTTTTGACTCCTGGGGAAAAAAGTCAAGGACACTTTGCCCTTGTTTGAAATAATGCTGAGGGCAAGAATTGTGAACACGTGTAGAATTTAATCTTGTTTTATGTTTCTACTAAGTAATGCTTTTCAGAATTATTTCACTTTTCATTCACTGAAAAGGAACCTGTGTTTCCTTTTCAATGACCTCTTTATAACCTGTTAAGAAAGATACTTTGGAAAAGTTACTTTTTAAATTGGTTTAACTTGAAAGAATGAAGTATACTTAAATGGGATGTCCTGCAAATTGTTAGGCACGGTTCACACAGAGCAATTTGTTTTTATTAATTTCTAAACTGAGTTGTTGGACATTTGACTTACCATATGGCCTCTCCCTTTTAGTCATACTAACAACTCTGGAGGTCAATGTTTGGTCCTTCTGATAGCTGATTAGGGCATCAGAAGATCATAAAATCAGGAGATTTCCATACTTCTTGACTTACCTGAATCTATTTTCTCCATTGTTGAGTAGGAAGTCATTTTTCTGATTTGGAACCATTGAAAATAAGTGCTTTTAGAAATCAGGGTGAGTTTATTTATTTATTTATTGAGGGAATATGTGTGATTTTTTTCAGGTTTCTTCTAAAGCTGTTTAGGGAAGAGTTTGTCTTTTCTTAAGCCATAAAAGAACATTTACGTTTCTTTTTATATCCAGTCATACAAGATAAACAGACCCCAAAGTCATTTAAATGATTTAAAAATATGGATTTTCATGTATTAGTTGTTCTTTTTCTTCTTTGGAATAATATGAAACATACTAGAAAACTATATTAGATAATTTAGGAAGTATTTATTAAGCACCTACCAAATACACAGCAATGTGCTGGGTGCTATTCAGAATACAAGGTGAATGAATTTTGTCTGATGAGTGTCTTCTAGGAGTTCCCTGTCTGGTGAGGGAGGGATGGTATAATGATATGACTCTAAAAAAACTGGGCCTTCTGGCAAAGGTGCTGTGATTTAAGTGCCTTGACAATATATACCTTAAGCCCAGGTTCATGGATCACTGGCAGGAAACAAGCCCAGAAACCATGTGCTTTGTGGAGGTAGATTGAATTGACATTTTTGCTCAGCAGGCAATTGGTGGCATCAGAATTGGGGCATGACGGAAGGAAGCAGTTGTCTAGGTTAGAGGGGAAATGGGAAGGTGGGATAGAGATACCAAGATAGTTAACTGACATAATTGACAGGATTGGCAGCTCCACTGATCAGAAGGAGGGTTTAGAGGAAAAATGTGGAGTCATTAACTGAGTTTTGATGCTCAAAGAGGTGAATAAGATTTGGGGAATGCATGGTGAAGTTGATGCTTTCTATCTTGGATATGTTGAGTTACACGAAGTATAGTTAAGTGTCACTGAAAAGTGCTATGTGTATATTGAAGGAGAAGATTCATCTCTGCTAGAGGTGTTCATCAGAAGGTTGGAGATTTGTTTTTAGGTCTTAGACCAGGATTGTCACTGGGAGATACTTTGCATATAGGCAACAGTTTTAATGTTAGGTGAGAAAGAAAGGGAGCCAGGAATTGGACATTGGGGTATAACTCTTCTTAGGATTCCAGGGAGAAGAGTGGCTTACAGCAGATAGAGGACAACCAGTCCAGCAGGCTGTCATGGTGGGAAGGGAGAAGGGTCCCCTGAAGATGGCTGTGTTTGGTGTCAAGTGTTACCAAGATGATATGACAGTAAGATGAGGTCCTCGGTCTTCGAGATGAGGATACTGGTAACCTTCTAAAGAGAGTTTCAGGGAGAGTCAAAGATCCAGAATTTGGCAGTAAAATAGAAGAGATATATAGGTGGTCAACCAAAAAATACTTGACCTAATTCATAAAAAATATGTGCAAGTTATAATGGTAATAAGCTAAAAAATTTTTTTCCAGTGTGCTTGGCAGATATGAACCAGTGCTGGTAAAGGAAAGGCAAAACAGACACTTTCAAGTTGATAATGATAGAGGGTCAAAATCTCTGAAACTTTCATGTTGGAAAAATTGGTAGTAATTGTCAAGATTAGAAATTGGACCCTTTAATCTGGGGATTTCATTTCTAAGAATTATTATGGGGATTATATTCCTACCTACCAAGCTGAATATATAAGGATGCTTGCTTGTAACAACAAAACTATAAATGACGTGAATGTAAAAATGTGGGGAATTTCTTAAAATTAAGGTCTAAATCCTATGGTGGAACGCTGTATGCAGCACTTAGAAAAAACATTGATCTTTCAAGCTCTCTAAAATAGGGGATTGAGAAAAGCAAGATGTCCACATTCATACACACATAGTACAGCGGCTTAAAGTTGTGTGTGTGTATGAGTTGTATGTATGTACATACACACACAACTATAGCTGTGTGGGACAATTCATAAGAAATGTAACAGTAGTACCTCTAAAGAGGAGGCCTGATGAAGAATATGTGAGGCAAAGATGGAAAGTTTTTTCTTTGTTACTGTTTGAATTTTCACATTACTCATGCATACTTTTATAATGAATAATTAACAACTTGTTTATGTAATTTTTAAAAGTTACCTAAAAAGAGCCATTGGTTCTGGAGAAAGAACTTCCTGTTGGTTGTCCATTAGTGGAAGTTGTTAAAAATTTTTTTTGATGGTAATTTTTAGAGTAGTGGAGCCTCAGGCCAGGGGGTGGCAACCAACAAGATTAAAGGGGCCTGGAGCTCAGTGTGGATGCTGTTGTAGCCAGAATCTTATGAATGGGGGCAAAATGGTAGGATACTGAGTTTTTGATTTAGGAGCCTTTATAGTAATCTGTCCTTGTGTGGAACAGGAGTGCATGGTTCCAGCCAAGATTTGATGAGTTTATTTGTTTATACTGCCTTATGGCTTATGTGGCAGAAGTAGTCATTCCAGATGCAAAGGAGCAATTATCTTGCTTAGGCATAATAGCAGCCACCTTTATTGAGAGTTTGCTCTCTGCCTGACTCTCTGGCAGGAGTATCAGGTACAGAATCTAATCTTTGCAATGCTTTGAGCAGGTGGAGACTTATTGTTATGCCATTTTACAGAGTGGGAAACATAGCTGCTTAGTCATTTTGGGTGGCTATAAAAAATACCATAAATTGGGTAGCTTGAAAACGGCAAACATTTCTCATGGTTCTGGAGGCTGGCAAGACCAAGATAAGGGTCAGGCAGACAAGGTATCTGGTTAGGGTACCTTGTTGCTGTGTCCTGACCTGGTGGGAGGGGCAAAAAAAAAAGTCTCTTGGAGGATACTAATTTTATTCACAAGGGCCCTGCCTTCAGGACCTAGTCACCCCGAAAAGGCACCACCTCTTAATATCATCTCAGTGTGGGCTAGGTTTCAACATTGGAATTTTAGGGGGCACAAGCATTCAGACTATAGCACAGTTAACTTGCCCAAAGTCACAACTATGCTTTTCAAATGAGTAAATCTTTAGCAGAAACTTAATTGTGTTCATAATTTGGGGGGCAGAAGTTTAGCAATTTGTATATTATTATACACATTTTTTGTGACTTCTTCTTTGTTCTTATTTATGTCTAGTCTTTTTTAAAAAATTGGTTCAATTTTTGCAATTTTATAGGTTTAATTTATTTTCCTCTGAGGGGATAATAAAATAATAATTTGGTAACTAATTGGTCTTACTTCCTTGTTTTCTTATGGAAAAATCTAGGTGATCCTTCAGGGCCATCTCTTCCACCCCATTGGTTTGACAATGTTGAAAGGGTTAGGGTCTTAACACAGAGTGCCTGGGCTAAAATTTTGCCTGTTATTTATGAACTGGGTAAATTTGAGCAAGAGACTTAATTGTTTTAAATCTTAGGGTTTTTTTTTTAATCAAATGGTAATAGTAGTTACATATAGCTTTCTAAGTTATAAAGATGAGGTTTCCTCCCTACATGTTTTTGAATGAGAAAATACATTTTAAATTGTACATCTTGTAGAGAGGAAAAAGGACCCATGAGGTGTACATGAATTATATGCAATTCATTCTTATACTTGCTATTCTACCTTACTCTGTTGTTTCATTAACAAATGCTGTTTGTAGATCACTAAATAGATTTCAGGTTGGAGCTATGCATTGCAGTTGATAATGTGAAAAAAAAAATGCAGTGTGAGATTCAAATGAGGGAATACTTGAGGATCAAGCTTTCCATATGGTACCTTGTATCTAGCAGAGGCTCCAGAGATTTCTTGTTGGGCCAGGGATGTGGCTTGTAGTAGAGTGTTTGCTTAGCATGGTTGAGGCCCTGGGCTTCATTCCCAGCACCACCACCACCACCACCAAAATAAGTAAATAAATAAACAGATAAACAAACAAATAATTAAAAATTAGCTATTACTATTATTATTTTTATAGTTTAATGACTGTACCTTTATTCAAAAACAAATATTAAAAAATGTTTTACCAAAAAATATTTATCAAGGACTGGCAGTGGGCCAGCCACCTTTGTGAATGTTTTCTCAT